AAAGTCGCTCTCGAATTTAGGACAGCAGTTCCGGACCTAATTATTAAGGTAATTACGATTTTTTTAGTGAATTTGTGAATATATTATATTCAATTTCGTTTCAGACTAGAGACATGAAAAATTTGAAGGAATTCAATAGAAATGCCATATTTGTGAAGAAGTTAGAGAAGATCATAAAGTGAAAATGAAGGCGATAAGTTATCAATACCACATTAGGCAGTGAAAGCTGGAAAAGGCCGCCAATGAATGGGAATGGATAAAATGAATAATAAGCTAAAAATGTGATCAATTTCGATTATTCTATAATTATTAGACAAATATTTTTCAATATTTTCTCAGGATTTTTTAAATATAAGGCTTATGTTCTTAAGCTTTTAATAATATCCCAAAATACAAAAATGGCTTGAGAATTATTTTACAACAACTCAACATACCAAAAACACAATACAGCTTAAAATAATATTATAAAAATATTTTGTCATAACAATGTATAAAAATTTCTCAAATCTGTTTTTTGTAGACAAATTTGTTTCGATTTTTTGTAAAAATTGTCTGCTAAAATTTTTTTTTTTTGTTTAAAAGTAAAATTACGACAATTTAGGATCCATTAGTTGCTTAAATCAAGAAAATACCGAATATCGGGAGGTACCGTTATATGGGGACTATACGAAGACGTGGACTTGCATACAAATTTTGTCATAGGCTGTAGTACTCATTACGAACTTTAAATATGAAATTTTAAACAACTAGGGTAAAAGTGTATCGCTAAATCATCAGAATACCGTATATTGGGTATTAATGTTATAAAGGGGGCTATACGAAAACTTGAACCGACATGGCCCAGATACGAACTTAGCCTGCCTACTGGTAAACTATGCATGTATTTTAGCCTTCTATCTCAATTGGTTCGAAAGATGGATGGAAAGACAGACGGATAGACAGGCGTACTTTGCTAGATCGTCTTAGAATTTTACGCTGACCCAGAATATATATACTTTGTAGGGTCTATTATAAATATTGCGAGGAGTTTCAAATGAAATGTTAAAGTTAATATATCCACCATAGAATGGTGGAGGGTATAACAAGAATGCTATTGTATATGTTTGGCATTGAAATAGGGTTCTACAGTCAGACTTCAAACGGAATTGGAAAAAACAAAATTTTACACGTTAATTCGCTTATTAATTTATTCAAATATTTATGTATAAATGGAACTTTGCATAATTGGTCTATGTCTATGCCGGATCCATTGCTTAACAACAACGAAACGCGTCGCATACTGGTCGGACGAGTGGGACTTCATTAAATTCCAATTTCCAATACCATATCTTTAGATCATTAATATCTCAACTCGAAACTTCGCACTAAAAGTAACAAATATAACATTCCAGTAGAACTTATTGAATATGTACTTTTAGCTCATTTAATATTTAGGCTTCACCACATGAATCTGCATCAGTCTCTACTTATATGGGCAATGAAGGTACTAAATTTTCCAATTTCCGGGCGCTGGTGATATTATATTTTCTGATCCTCCACTACACATGACCGATTACGTTTAAATCTGGGCCTTGTTGAGACGTGTGCAGTAGTCGTGGGCCTAACGCGGCGGCAACTTATACCATTACGTTGTTTACAGTAATTATATTTGAAATAATTGCAGTTTTTTTCTCACACCATCGCTTATATTATATTATACTAGCTGAGCCCGACGCGCTGCGCTATCCGTTTAGTTTTTATTTCTTTTCTTTATATTTATACAAATATTTTGTGGGTTTTAAATAAAAATAAAACCATTTCAAGGATTTCAAAAACGTATTTGTCGTAATGCTTTAGAATTTACAACATTTTTATCCGTCAGGAGCGTAAACAAACAAATCGATAGGTCTACCCTCACGTGAACATTCCACATACAAAGAGAATAGGAACATGCTAAATTTAGTCCGCACGCACTAAAAGTTTGTCTTTGGTATTTATTAATTGTCATAGCAAATGCCAACCAAAAGGGAAACTGAAATTTAACTGCAAGTTAAACGGCATTTTTGTAACTATTTTATTGTTTGGTGCATCAAATACAGGAAATTAGGCGAGCATTTTAAATAGAAATCTGTACCGATTTAAATATAATTTTTCAAATTTATTTTCGCACTAAATTCCACAACACCCTTCGATTTTCATTGGAATCGGACATAAATATCGTGCTTGGTGCATAAAATGCATGAAATCAGCTAAAAATATATATGGGAGCTATATCGAAATATGGACCGATTTCAATATAATTTTCCAAAATTAGTTTTGTAACAAATTCAGTCATTCATTCCGAATTTCATTAGAATAAGATATACATATTGTTTTTTAGTGCATTAAATATATGATATCTGCCGAAAATACATATGGGATCTATATCTAAATCTGAGCCGATTTCAATATTATTTGCAAATAATATTTTAGGCCAAATTCCATCTCACATTTCAAATATGATTGAAATTGGGGATACATAGCGTGTTTGGCGCAAAATGTATATGGGAGCTATATCCAAATCTGACCGATTTCAATATAATTTAGCAAATATATAATTGTACAGAATTCCGTTACACACTCTAAACTTGAAGACCGTGTCTAAAAGCTATAAATAGATATGAGCATATAAAATATATTTTTTTGGAGGTACTTGCGCCTCTAATGCTATATCTCAAGTTCTCAAGTGGAACTTCAAATATTTATATAGCCTATGTTTCTTTCAGGCAAATCTGTTCAGCGGTTTTCGAGTCCATAAATTACAAACAAACAAACAATTAAAAGTACAAACATTTACCTCTTTTGTAGATATAGACTAACTGAACCCGGTTGCAGGTTTTTAATCTCACCGTGTATATATGCCCACCCGCACTGATAGTCTTTAATGCATATTTTTTAAGGCATAATAAATTACAGATATGACTTATGTAAGCCGCACAATTTTTATTATAAGCAACGACTCCATAGTGATTTATAAATAGAAATAAATATTAATGGCAAAAATTATAATAGATGTTCACCTACCATCGGTTTAGGTATTTTGAATAAACGGATCTTATTTTCCAGCCATAGGCTTTAATTTGAATCTTGAATACTTATATGATATAAAACATCATGTGAAAATTCACCTTAATTTTTGGTACTGTAAAGAGCTTAGCAACATTTTCATTCAATAATTTCTAATCAATCTACAGGTCGCAATTATGGCCCAATCTTCACGAAATTTAGAATGGAGGTGGGGCAAGAGCCAGAAGAATAGAAGCCTATTGCTTTTGGAGATGCCTAATATTCAGGGGTTGAAAAGGACCAAGAACAAAAATTTTCCTGATTTTTCAGTTGCTCTACAGGTCTCAATTATAGACCAATCGAAGCGGAAATTAGCATGGGGCTAGAGCTTAGGGCTGGGCAGAATCCTTCCAGTTTTGATGGTCATCGGGTAATATTTAGTGGGTAATATAGACCGTAACATTTGTGTCAAATAAAAGTCAAAATTTCTATTAAACCGCGAATATTTTCAATTCCGGCGAAATCACAAATAGACGAACAGGTCAATTCACAACAAAAATAAAGAAAATCATCAACTTAAAAACTAAAGGAAAAACTAATATTTGTCGTGCAAAAAACAAAAAGAGAAAATATGGAGCAACTGATGTATTCACTTTTGGATGATTCCAGCAGTGAAGAGGACTGGCTGAGATTATTAATTATTATTATAGATTATTAATTTTAACTTATCGTCTTCAATATTCATTTTTTTAAATTTTGGCGTCCTTTTCAGTAAGGTTTCACCAGTCCGATTTAGACTGTTTACTTTTGGAATTTTGACATTTTATCGCATTCCTGCTAATTTTCCGTTCCCTTATTTTTGGAGCACACCTAAATGAGAATGACATTTCGAACTTTTCTCTCTTCTGCAAGTTTTACTACTAAAAAAGTACTGGAACACAACTATTGATGTGTATATTTTGTAATATTTTTTCACCTTACAACACAGTTTAGGGATATTAAATACAGTTGGAATTTAATATCCGATCCTCACGAAAATGGTAGGGTTAGGCTCCGAAGAGATAGGACTATTTATTTCAAAGACGTCCGCTATATATAGGGGCTGAAATGGACCAACAACTAAAACGGTTAGTGATTTATAAAGGTCACAAATAGAATCCAAAGGACACAAAATCTCGCATGAAATTAGAGTTTAGGACAGCGAGTAGAATGGGCCGCTACTTTTGTGTGAAGAAATACCAACGTTACCAAATGAACCACAAACAGAAACAATTTCCTGATCACACAATTGAAGCCAATCAACACTCCTGAGAAGAGAAGAATTCTAGCATTTGGATTATATTTAGCTAACAGCACGACGGAGTGCGTAAATATTGTGCAAATGTCCCTGGCCAAAATACTAAGGGTAATTTAGAATGAAGCCAAGATTATTATGTTTTCTAAAAAGCTTAACCTCTTAAGAGTTCATGTATACACATTTGACAATAAATATCTGATTTTAATTTTTTGAATTTTGGCCAATGGCAGCGACCACTGTGCATTGGCGACGAGGATGGGGTGATATTGTGAATAAGTATTTTACAAACATTAGAAAGGAAAAATACATTTTGAAAATACGTCATAAAGTGCTTTAAATTGCAAGAGTGAAGAAATAAATTGCAAAAAGGAGCAAGAAAACAAAGTTGGCATTGAATTGCTACAGTTTTTCAATAAAAGTGGTTGAATTAGTGAATGGGCATTAATTGCGATATTGGCAGAAAATAAATTGCATTAAATTGCGACTAGACGTGAATGAGCATTAAATTGCCGATTATTTGTTAAGGTGCCAACAAGGTAATTAATAAAAACTAATACATAATATATGATTGATACCGATTTAATTCGGCATAATGGAAAGGTGTGGACTGACATAATATGATGTAGACATATGTTGCAAATAATTTTTTTTTTTTTTTTGTTTTTGATTGTTGTTTCAGTTTTATTGTAGATGAAATGTCAGAGGTTTTGAAACCATTCCTGTGTGATTCAATTGACAAGTCGCTGCTACGCAACGAGTGGGAAAAATGGTTAAGATCATTCACCCTGTACCTTGCTGCAGAAGATATTATTGATGATGGCAAAAAGAGAAATAAGCTTCTGCTCTTGGTGGGACCCCAGTTACAAGAAGTAGTTTTTAATATTCCTGGAGCTTTAGTGGAAAGAGATGAAAAAGGAGAGATCAAAACATACGACGTGTTGGTTGAGAAGCTAAATGAATATTTCTCCCCAAAACGCAATTCGACGTTTGAGCGTCATTTGTTCCGCAACCTAACACCAATAGAGGGAGAAAATTTTAACAAGTTTTTGATGCGGTTGCGACAACAGGTGGTAAAATGTTCGTTTGGGAGCACCAAAAAAGAAATTGAAGAGAGTTCCATAAAGGATAAGTTAATCGATTCATGGGCCCCAATAGACTTAAAAAAGAGGTTGTTGGAGACAGAACACAATCTCTCGGAAGTAATAGAATCTTGCCAAGTGTACGAGCAAATAAACAAAAGCTGTCATAGCTTCCTGTGCCATGTTGAAGAGGATGCAGTAAACAAGATCAACACAAAAGAGTATACACAATTAAATACATCAATTGAGTGCGACCGGTGTGGAAGAAAAGGACATCAATCAAATTCTCTTGAGTGCCCAGCTAAGAAGGCTAAATGTAATAAATGCTCATTGTTGGGTCATTTCGCTATAAAATGCAAAACAAAGAAACGAAGATTTGATAACAACTACAACGAGCCTTACAAAGGAGCCGTACAAGTTCAAATGTAAGATGTATAGAAGAAGACGGCACGGTTTCCGAGAATCGAAGTTGTGGGTAATGGCCAGAGCGAAGAGAACATTTGCTGCACAATTGGTGGGAAGAACATTATGATGGTCATAGACTCTGGTTGTAAATTCAATCTCATCAGCGAGAATGATTGGAACATTTTGAAACGTTCAGATGCCGCAATTTGGAATATACAAACTCACTCTACAAACAAATTCAAAGCATATGCTGCCAACCATCCATTGGAAGTTATTGTGGTGTTTGATGCTCCTATATGTATGGGTAATAGAAATGAAATAATATCTTCATTCTATGTAATCAAAAACGGAAACCAATCTCTCTTGGGGAGAGAAGCTTCTCTACAATTAAAAGTTCTGAAGCTAGGATTAGATGTTAATCACATTGAGGAGAAGAAACAACCTTTTCCAAAGATACACGGTGTTAAAGTGTCGTTATCTATAGACCATACAGTAAAGCCTGTTCAGCAGCCAGTACGTCATGTTCCGGTGGCGCTGGAGGAAAAAGTTGCCAATAAAATTGACGAGGTTCTACGACTTGATATTATAGAACCAGTCATTGGTCCCAGTAAATGGATTTCCCCGATAGTAATAGCATTTAAAGGAAATGATGACATTCGACTTTGTGTCGACATGATATGCGCCAATCGGGCGATTCTTCGTGAAAATTACTTATTGCTTATATTCGAATCATTTATGAGTAGACTAAAATCCGCTAAAATCTTCTCGAGATTGGATTTAACATCCGCATACCATCAAGTAGAATGGGATGAATCAAGTTGTGAAATCACAACCTTTGTGTCGCATAAAGGTTTGTACAGATACAAACGATTGATGTTTGGGGTAAACTCAGCTCCTGAAATTTTCCAAAAAAATATGGAAGGGATGCTTTCGACATGCCCAAATGCTCTAAATTATATTGATGACATTGTCGTGTTTGGGAACTGCGACGAAGATCATGATACAACTTTGAAGTCTGTCCTTGAAATTTTAAAGAAAAATAATGTTACCTTGAACCAGGAAAAATGTGTATGGAAGACTAAAAAGTTAATGGTCCTGGGACACATACTTTCAGCAGAGGGATTCACTGCGGATCCCGATAAAGTCAAAGTTATTCAAGACTTTCGAGCCCCAGAGTCAAAAGAGGAAGTACGCAGTTTCTTGGGCTTGGTAACATACATTGGAAAATTCTTACCAGATTTAGCAGACATAACTGATCCATTAAGGATACTTCTTACAAAGGATGCAAAATTCGCCTGAAGCCATAGACAAGAAGAAGCTTTTTGCAAATTGAAAAAGATGTTATCCAAAATACCAAATCTTTCATACTTTGACCCAAAATAAAGAACGCGGGTAATAGCAGATGCAAGCCCGGTGGCTTTAAGAGCTGTACTGTTGCAGTTTGATGATGAGGACAAACCACGAATTATCTCTTTTGCTAGTAAAAGCTTATCTTCCACAGAGAAGAGATATTCTCAAACCGAAAAAGAGAGTTTGGCTTTAGTTTGGTCTGTAGAAAGGTTCTATTACTACCTAGCTGGATTGGAGTTTGAACTTGTAACCGACCACAAGCCTTTGGAAAGTATTTTCAAGCCGACTTCGAAACCTCCTGCTAGAATTGAGAGATGGCTACTTCGTCTACAGGATTTTAAGTTCAAAGTCATATATCGTGCAGGAAAAGAAAATATTGCAGACTCCATATCCCGATTGTGTAAACTTTCAGAAGACCACTCCTTCGATGCAGCTTTCGAGGATTCAATTTTCCACGTATTAGAGAACACAATTCCATCCGCTCTTAATATTTCCACAATAAGCAAAGAAAGCGCCAAAGACATCGACATCCAAGAGGCTATTTCGAGTATGGGGAATGAAACGTGGGAGTCTAAATCATCAAATCCTTATTATGTCTTCCGTTTTGAATTATCAGCTATTGACCCAATCTTGTTACGGGGAAGTCGCATCGTAATACCAAAAGCGTTACGACCAAGAGTGTTAGATCTGGCTCTTGAAGGCCATCCGGGTCAGTCCGCAATGAAACGTCGTCTCCGCTCGAAAGTCTGGTGGCCGCTAATAGACAGGGAAGCAGAAAACTTTGTGAAAGCTTGTCATGATTGTCTCCTTGTTTCACAACCTAATAATCCAACACCTGCATTGAACATCCATTTCCAAATGGCCCCTGGCAATGTTTGGCCACTGTCCTCTCGGGCCGCTGCCTAATGGTGAACATGTTCTAGTTTTAATTGATTACTACTCTCGGTATCAGGAAGTCGTATTCTTAAAGCGTATAACCTCAAATGCTATAATTAAATCAATGAAGAAAATATTCTCAAAACTTGGAATACCGAAATCCATTAGAACCGACAACGGGAGACAATATGTCAGCGACGAATTCAAATCCTTCTGTTCAGAAAATAACATATCTCTTATCAGAACTCCTCCATATTGGCCACAGGCAAATGGTGAAGTGGAAAATATGAACAGGTCCTTGGTAAAACGATTGAAAATAGCTGCTGCGAACAAACACGATTATAAAGAGGAAATCCAAAAATTCCTTTTAACGTATAATGTTACGCCACATGGAACTACGGGCACAGCCCCCAGAGAATTAATGTTTAACAGGCGCATTCGTGAAAAAATACCTGGTATTGAGGATCTATCTGAGGAATTGATTGATTCGGCTGCTAAAGATAATGATTTGATCTCAAAACAAAAAGGGAAAGAAAAGGCGGACACTGTAAGAAACGCAAAGGAATCTTTCATCCAAGTAGGGGACAAAGTATTGTTGAAAAACGTAATTTTCCCCAATAAGCTCACTCCAAATTTTGATAAAACTGTGTACGAAGTGGTTGAAAGAAATGGCAGTGAGGTAAAAGTCGTCGAAATCCACATTCTGAACAATCTCCAATCAACACGGAACCACTTCCTGACATTGCAGAACCAACCCAGCCAGCTCCGTATTCCAGTGCATCGACCACCAAAAATCAACCATTATTGCCGTCTCTGTCAACACATACCTCCAGCGGAACTGATGTCCCTCGTGACCAAGGACCATTGAAGCTAAGACTGAAAAAGGTGGAAGGGATGTGGCAACACTGATTCTATTATCGATAACATTAGTAAATCCGATTGAATTTAATCAGTTTTGATATTGTAATCTCTTATACTTATTACTTAGAAAAGCGCCGAATTCCAATAAAGTTTAAGTTTATTAATTGTTTGTAAAACCCAACCGAGCCGAGTTTCAATTTTCAAAATACCATTCCGAAATTGCATGAAATGTTAAAATCTTAAGTTATAAGCGTAATAACTAACATAACTTTATCTAAAAAGACTACACATAATATTAGAATCCAAAAAAAAAAACACTACAAATGTACATTCGAAAATAGTAAGTCAAAATGGAAAAAATCATGCAATATACAACATTGTACAAATTTTATACTTTTCTGCCAAGAGATAATTCCGAATTTGTCTAAATCGTTCAAATCAACCAGCGTTTGTTGATTTAAAAGCGTAGTAACTAACACAACTTTCTTTTATATATAGACTAGCTGAACCCGGCGCGCTTCTCTACCCCTTTCGATTTTATAAGCATTCAATATGTTATAGGGTAAATGTACCAGTAGTCGGCACTTTTAGGATTTTCGATTTTTCCATATTTCAACATTCTGAGTTAAATCTTTCAATTGCTAAAAAATAATGTTGTTCAGATTACAAATTTTGTTTAGTTTTCGAAATAATAAACAAAAATTGAATTTGTTTTTATTAAATTGGCAAAATTTGCAATTTTACTAAAATAGTAGTTTTTTGCCATTTTCCAATGCTCGGTATGTCTCGGTTTTGTCTAGTAAAAAAATATTATTTTGTATATTTTTTTATTTCAAATAGTATAAAACAATGCTATATTACTAATTCACAGTTTAATCCAGAATTTGAAATTAATTTCGTTTTTCAATAGTGTTTCATTTAAATATCATTACCTTCAGCAACGTAAGGATTTTCAGTTAAAATAAAAATGAGATTTAATAAAAAAAGAACAAGTAAAAAAGCTGTAAGCTCGGCCGGAACGAACTTTTAATACCCTCCACTACCCATTGGTACAAATTTGGCAATTTCCAAAAAAAAAAATCCATTTAAATTCTGTTAAAATCTTAAAAATACCGAAAATACGTAGACCTGCACAGGCAACTTTTGTCATAAGTTATTACAATATTCAAATGCGAAACTTGAAGAAAAGTCTGTTTATAATGTAGCTAAAATCATCAAAATACCGAATATAGTGGGTACCGTTATATGGAGGCTATACGAAGGCGTGGAGCTGCACAGACAATTTTCTGGTATGGGCTAAAGTATCCATTATGAACTTCACATGCGAAATTTGAAACAATCCAGGTAAATAATGTCGCTAAAATCATCAAAATACCGAATATCGGGATGTACGGTATATGTGGGCTATACGAATACGTGGACCTACATGGCCCATTTTCTGTTTTATGCGGAAGTTTCCATTACGAAATTCAAATACCAAATTTGGAACGACTCCGTTATATAATGTCGCTAAAATCATCAAAATACCGAATATCGGGGGGTATCGTTATATGGGGGCTATATTATAACTTGGACCTACATGGCCCATTTACGAACTTAACCTGCCTACTGGCAAAATATACATGTGTGCAAAATTTTAGCCTTCTATCTCAATTTGTTCGAAAGATAGCGTGATTACAACAGACAGACACAGACAGACGGACATGGCTAAATCGTCTTAGAATTTTACGCTGATCAAGAATATATATACTTTATTGGGTCTGACATGAGTATTTCGAGGAGTTACAAACGGAATGACAAAATTAATAATATTAACAAAATTAAAAATTAAAAATTGACAAAATTAATAAAATTAATAAAAAAAAGTACCTTTCTTATATTAGCTGATGTTTTTGGATCATTTTTTAATGCTTTTCTCAAGTTTTGGTTGGTCAAAA